AAGGCTGAGTAAATTGCAGCTCATGAAGATATTTCTTCTATCTTAAAGATTGGTTCAGTCATTATTACCCTAAAGCAGGTTGAGATAAACAATATGGCATTGGTAACAAAAAACTTCTCTCTACTTTCATTTCATGTTATTATATTTCACAATATCTTTGTTGTGTTGGTAAGAATGTTTGTGTTCCATTTTGATTATGATTTGGTTTTGAAGGTGTTGAAATGTAGTATACAACTAAATGAGAGTTTATTCTTTAACAATAGTAAATTCTTTTGGTTTGTTTGTTGTTGTCCACTATTGTGGACTCAAGACATAACATAATAATACCATTTCAATTGAGGACTCGATGTCATACTTTACCAAGATATGCATAAACTGATCATATGAAAAGAAATTATGTTTACTGCACCATGTGAAGTTTGTTTACTTAAGACACCGAAGTTTTAACATGAGATAATTTATTCTTTTCAAGTTGTCTCTTCTGCAAATGACGTAACACAAGGGATGAGAACAAGATCCTAAAATAAAAGTGTCATTGTTTTTTCTACCCATTACTAAACTAAAAACATACAAAGAACATAAAATTACCTACATAATTTAAAAAAAAAAAAAAAAGTCTGCCTCATTAGTGATTACTTAATCTTAGAGCCAAATGATGTACTTTGAAAATAGTTTTATCTATCTTTTTTTCTCTTATTTTTTAATTTATTAAATTATAATCTCATGAAAATTGTTAATATTCTTATAAGAGATTTGATTGAATATTGTTTTACAAGTTTACTCGATCATTTGGTAGAATATAAGCCAACATGTTTTTATGTTGAAGATTTCACTTTCTTTTGACAAGTGAAGTTTATATTAGTATATCTAAATTAATTGTTTGAATTATATAGTGTGTAATCAAAATTCTCTTTTTTATGATTATTCTAATACAATTCAATTTATATAATAATTGATCATTATATAATTAAATTTAACATTTTATATTAAAAAATAAATTTACCTGTGCGGACGGGTATCTTACTAGTTGACTTGTAAAACTCTTACTCTTCATCAACCTTTATCATTTAATAAATACAATTTATTCAATGTATCTTACAATATTGTCAATTCTTTTTATATAAATGGGGTATCCTTGCATTCCTTTTCAAATCTCGTTAATATGTTGGAGTCTTTACTAATCTGGTTAATATGCTTTTGTTTCTAGATGGGTTTTTTTTATGCCCTTCTTTGGTATATGTATGTATCCGTAGTTGAAGCATTGTTTCCTAGGAAAAGCCAAGTCTTTTCTTTAGTCTCGTTTTGGCTATTGAACCACAATATGCTGGGCTGGTAACATTAATGTTTGGAAATTTTAGCAAAATGACATTTGCACCAAATGAAGGAATGACATTTCCCCATCTTTGTTTCTATATTATTATTAATTAGTGTAGTCTATGCATCAAACAATTTGATGATTTTTGATTAATGTAGTTTCCAAATTAGAGTTGATCTTAACACATTTTTAAAGCAACAAAACAGTGTAAGATTCTTAAAAAACAACAACAACAAAACAGAAACAATTAGAACATACATTTCAATAAACCTGACCAGCATATTGAATGTGCATAAGCAAAACAAATAGATTCACCAAATGAGACTGGTTCTAATAAAGTGATAACAATGACAACAAACCGATATTTTTTTTAACAGTGCAAATTATTTTGTAGATCTTTTAAACCAACTGAGTCAACAATTTTAATGTGGAAAGAACTTAGATACATTGAGCAATAAAGTTAAAAAGAGAGAAAAAAAAACACAATAGGTGTTGTATGAAGGTCAAAACTTGGAGAGTCATAAAAAAACAAACTAGTAATCGACTCATTCAGAAATCTAACCATTTCTGATAATAGACACATGTTGCTGGAGAAATGGTGCCATCTGGTGTGCAAAAGCTCATTCTTTGACAAGAAAAACATGGAAAGGAAGTCAAGTCAGCAGTCTTCTTTTCCCCTCTAACTCCACCTTTGCTTTTGCTTATGTAACAAGTTTTGCCAACAGGAATAGATGCAAAATCCCCTTGTCCGGTACTTATCATCTGCATGATCTCATCATCCAAAACCAAAGTTTGCAAAATCTCTTCCATTTGTTTTTTAGTGACTTCAGTATTAAAGACTCCACTCCTTTTAATCCACTCCAAACATCCATCACATGTGGAAACTTTCTGCATGAAAATGCATTTCAAGCACACATCTTTTAGACTGTTTATATAATCGATATCAAGTTTCCCATCACTATAAAAATGACCACCAGTGATTTCCTCGGAAGGCATAAACTCTGTTGCCATGTAGTGCTTTCTACCTTTGTTTTGAATAGTAGTAACTTCCTTTATCATATTCTTGGAGATAAGTGTCTTCAGGGATTTATTGACCACAGTAGTAGGAAGTTTTGTTTCTTTTTTCATGTCTCCAGTCCAGATCCCTATGTTTTCCCTGCTATGTATGAGGTTAAAGAGTAAGCGCTCTTCATCTGTCAACACCGGCTCAGACACTTTTTGTCGTTTCCGTTGAGTGAAAGCAGAAACTTGCAAACGATTCATTCCTTACAAGAGAAAAATATCAAACAAAGTATAGTTAAAGCATTAAAAGAATTATAATAGAGAATCATTAAACCTATCGATAAAAAAATTTTGAACATGAAAAGAGGAAATATGCAGAGTGTAGTAAAAATAATCATTATGTTAAGCCATCTATGACTGATTATGACAATTCCAAACATTGTAGCAGAAGAATCCAAAATTCCAAACACATCTAGCTTCCACTTCCCTTATCTTAAATGTAAATGTCCAGTGCAATCCGAATATAACAATATAAAAAATAGCACATGAAAAGCTAAGAATAGAAAAAAAGTCTAATAGTCTAATATATTCATACGCATATGGATGGGCATTGCAATTTAGTATCAGTCGTTTTTTTGCATAGGAGAGGCACATCAGATTTTGTCAAAATTAAACAACATACAAACCCTTGCATATATAGATGAAAACTACACAGAAGCAATATATTGATCAATATATATATATATCATCGTTCAAATATGATCTTACTAAGAATAATCAAACTTTGCCAGTGGACTAAATATAAGAATCATGCACCCTGGTAGTCATTTCAGCCAACATCAGTTTCATGCCCTAAGATAATAAACAAATTTCACAGATATGCTCACCTGACCAAATTTACAGACTATATCAACTCCCACAACACCAAAGTCATGAGTTTAATTTATCTCAAAGCAACATGAGTTTAATTTCTTAAATTATTTAAGATATTGTTAAAATTTAAATGTCAGACTTTTACTAATTGAATTTGGAAAATCACTATATGAAAATCTAAAAATATCACTCTAATCTATTCCCAATTATGTATATGACTGAAAGCAATAGCATTATAGCAAGAAGACTTAAATAAGATGAATGCAAATATGAAATTAGAGTCATAGAAAAATTGAATTAGATGATTTAGAAAAAAAATGTTCAAAAAGTTAAACATATTGGTCTTGTTGCAATATCATTAATCTTCATCCCATCAAGACTAAGAACTTCATCTAAAATGACATCTCTTTAAATGTTTTTGGAAATATTTTATGTCTTATTTTCATCCCATCAAGACTAGGGATTAAAAATCAACTCACTACCAGGTACTATATGTAGATTCAGATGAAACCATAAAGTCAAAGACAGACATTGAGAGTTCAAAATTTGACTGAGACATAAGCAAAGTCTGACCAATAATTATTCTAGTCATATTAAGACTTGGATTCTTCAGAAAAACATAGTAACGATTTGAACTAAACAAAAAATATAGTAACGGTTTGAACTAATAATCTCAACTGAAAAACCCCAATGCTAAATTACTGAACTATAACTAATTTTTCTACAAGAGGATATGAGTAGCATTTGAAATGCTTTCCCCATTGTCCAGCACTATATTACACCCTTCTCTGAGAAATTAAAAATGACAAGTGGTACAAAGGGTATGATGTCACACCTAACAACAGCTTTCTTCATTTTCTTAAATTTCCTTCACCGGATAACAATTTTCTGGATGACAGTTCTCTACAATGTATTACAGCATCATAAATTAAACTCATGTTGCTTTGCGATAAATTCAACTCATGTGCTTTGCGATAAATTGAAGAAATTAAACTCATGTTGCTTTGAGATAAATTAAACTCATGTGCTTTGCACTTTAGGGTTTTGTAAGATAAACTTGGAGAACCAGAATGAAAATTACAGGGAAACTATACGATGAAAATTGATGAGTAAAGCATCGAGGTAAAACTCACTCACCGGAAAGGTACTGGTACGATGCAGAAGCGGAAACGGCGAGGTTGATCGACGGCGAGGAAACAGTAGAGCTGCGGGAAGAAAGGTCTAACTCTTAGTTTCCGGTTGGGATTTGGAATTTAAAATAAACCTATAGTCAAGTTGAACCGGAATCCGTGGTCTGGTTCGGCTTGGTTTGGATCAGCAAACCGCTAGTTTTACAAAACCGGTATCAAACCACTTCAACCGGGAAAACCGGATAAAATCAAAGCAATTACAGAACCGGGACCGGATTTGCAATTGTTATTACAGCTATTTACTTCTTTTTTCCTTTCTCATTTTAGAACTCAAAATTTTACTATAATTACCGACATAATATTCGTTTAATTTTTTGGTCCACCATTTTAGTGGCTGAATCCGAATCTTCAACCTTCAGGTTCTTTCTTTTTCTCTTTTTTTTCTTCCATCGATTACTTCATCATAGATTATACTATTTTAATAATTCTCCGTTTAGGGTTTTAAACCCTAAAATTCAACTCATCGATCCCCGAAAAGCACATGTGTGTGAATAATAAGGATAATATGATATCAAACGTAGCTGAATTTCAACCACCGCTTCTCCCTTACTTCAATTCAACCAACAATCCTCCAAATTTTCCATTTCCTTTTTGTTGCAGTTATCAATTCGAGTTCAAAAATGTCTGTTGCAAATCCTTTCAGAAAGTTGATTAAATGCGTTATTCTTGATTTGGATGGCACGTTGCTCAACACAGGTACATCTTTAATCATTTCTCATTCCGTATTAGTATCAAGTATCATTAACACTGTTGTTGATTGTGGTTTGAATGATTGTAGATGGCATTGTTTGCAACGTTTTAAAGGTTTCGTTGGGAAAATATGGTAAAGAATGGGATGGAAGAGAAACCCTTAAAATTGTCGGGAAAACACCTTTAGAAGCTGCTTCTGCTGTTGTTGAAGATTATGGACTTCCTTGCTCGCCAATTCAGTTTATTTCCGAGATTTCACCGCTATTTTCCAATCAGTAAGTATCTTTTAAGGCTAAAGAATTCACTTATGGAGCTTATTTTGTTAATGTTATATGTTGCTATTGTCTACTGGGAATTGTTTCTCCCGCAAGTTTTTGATATAAAAGAAGGTGCTCTGCTGTGCCATTGATTAGGAGATGGTTTGTGTTAGATTCAACGTTGAGAAATTTCCTTTAGAGAGAAAAGTGAGGAATTTTAGTCATTGAAATTTGAATAACTTGATAGTCTGTCATTGAGACCCCTGTGACCCAGAATACTCAGCTATGCAGGTTTAGTTTGTTCAGGGTTGTTGGAATTAATATCTCCATTTTGTCTTTATCTTTTCATAGTATGTTGTTATTCTGTTACCTTGTTTTTTAATTTTTGAGTGAATTAGCTTTTGTGATCTTAGTTGAATAGGCTATTCCAATATTGTCGTAAACCACTAGCTTAACTTTTTATTCATCGTAGTATTGCTGATTGCTGATTGCTGAGTCGAGGTTCCTAATAGTTAGAATGAGAATATGATTACAATCTCAATTGATAATTTCTTTATTTACTGGCTATAACTACCCACTCTTCCGTATAAAGTTAATCCTCATTTTATAGAAACCATATTCAATTATCTCTACTTCGGAAAATTTATTAACATACGGATCAAATATCTGGAAAATTTGTCCCGAATCAGTTAGTTTATGATCATATATGATATCTGTTCAATTGAAAACCTTTGTGTATTGTGTTTCATATTGGACATGCAAGAAAATATTCATTTGTCTGTTAGTGTTCCTTCACACGCAGTTACTTGGTTGGTCAATCCAATTGAACTTGTTGCATTTCAAAGAAATGAGGGAATGTTTCTCTGATGTTTTTGCTTGATTCTCATGTTAGGTGGTGCAACATTAAAGCACTTCCTGGTGCCAATCGGTTGATTAAACATTTGAAGAGCAATGGAGTTCCAATGGTCTTAGCATCAAACTCTCCAAGGGAGAGCGTTGATGCTAAAATATCCTTTCACAACGGTATTGGTTTATTTAAAAAGCCTTAGTTTTCTTGTATTCATTCTCATTGTTTGTGATAATGAAAGTATGAGATAGTTTCTTAATTTATATTCTTTCCATGCAGGATGGAAAGATTCTTTCTCCGTCATAATTGGGGGAGACGAAGTTCGAACAGGGAAGCCTTCCCCTGACATGTGAGATGCAAAAAATGTTTTGTTTATCCTTGATTAACGAGTGTTATTTGTCTATTATACAAGTAAGATAGTATTCTTCTGAAAACTTCAAATTGTAATTTATCGCATCAGATTCTTTGAAGCTGCTAGGAGGTTACACATGGAGCCTTCCAGCTGTCTTGTGATTGAAGACTCTTTGTGAGCATCCTTCTGTTCTAACTCTTTTTTATTTATGTACCAGATCCAAGCCTTGTTTGATGGTTTAAACCTTCTGTTGAAGATTTTATCCTATCGTTCATTACACTTCAAAAAAGAAACTTCTTTGATGGTTTAAGCCTTCTGTTGAAACTTTTTAAAAATGTTTGGATATGTTATCCTAGTGATCCCATTGAAGTTTATAATTAGATGTTCAGTTACGAAATAAATCTAGTGGCGGAGGACCATAACTCTCAAGTTGTGTATTTATCCTTATAACTTGATAGACAAAATAATCTCTGTCCAATTCTTTTTACATTTGGGCTGAAACCTTCCCTTCAATTTTGGTCTACACTCTACCGTAATTTCTATGTTGAAAATATGTTAAATTGCCTATTTGCGCCATATGTTTTTTCTAAAAATTATCTACTTGGCTACTTCAGACCTGGTGTTACTGCAGGTAAGACTGCTGAAATGGAGGTGGTTGCTGTACCATCACTCCCGAAACAGTCTCATCTCTTTACTGCAGCAGATGAGGTGATCAATTCCCTACTTGATTTGCAACTTGAAAAGTGGGGTCTACCACCATTTGCCGACTGTAAATCTTGAATACCTTAAGATATTGATATTGTGTCTATGCATTTCCTTTATTGGTATGACATTTTCATTTGAACTAGTGTTATAAATTATTGCAGGGGTGGAGGGAACTTTGCCGGTAGATCCTTGGTATATTGGTGGTCCTGTCATCAAGGGATTTGGTCGTGGGTCAAAAGTACTCGGGATTCCTACAGGTTCGTTTTCAGTTTTCACCATTTTCTTGTGCAATATGGCATGAAGCTGAATCATAGAGGTGCCAAAAGATGGGTAATTCAAAATGATTCCCTGAGGTTTATCACAATTATATTTAGTGGTTGCTTGTTTTATTAGAAGTTTGAGATTCTGATTTTTGAATTTCCCCAATGACTTTGAGGATTATGCCATTTAAAACAATTTTAGGCCTATTTGTATAATAATTAATAAGGCTTTGTTTGGTAGTTTAGGAGGGGAGGGGAGGATTCTGAGAAAAATGAAGGATGGAGTGGAAAAAATTGAAGGTTTTGGAAAGAGAGGACTTTGAGGAGTTTATTTTTCTTTGTAATACAAATCTTCCTAATATTGAAATTTCAAAAATTGTATTTGGAGGGCTTTGATAAATTATCCAAATTCAAATCTATGTTATAATTTTCTAAGTATTCAAAATATATTAATCACAAGCATTCATTTATCATTCTATACAATCTATCAAAATAGTTAAAAAGATTTATCTATTTTTTTCTATACTCCTCTTCCCCCCTCCAAACTCACAAACGGAGTCTAAGGGTATCGGTGCACTATTTTCAGCTAATTTGTCAACAAAGGACTATTCAGATCTCCTTTCAGAGCATCCTGCAGGAGTTTATTTTGGTTGGGCTGGATTACCAACAAGAGGTATTTTTAAAATGGTGATGAGCATTGGTTGGAATCCATATTTTAGCAACAAAGAAAAAACTATAGTAAGTTGCTTACTTTAAACCTCCGGCTATAACTATTTACCTCAGAATTTTCTTATGATATAGGTTTTTCTTTTAGGAACCATGGTTGCTTCATGAATTCACCGAGGATTTCTACGGGGAAGAACTGCGGCTGGTTATAGTCGGTTACATACGTCCTGAGGTAGAGCTGTTTACGACATTTCTACATCATGCTTGGCTTGTCTTGCTCTCCATCTTTTGAATTTCTCTAAAATTGGGCACTGTGCATTGCAGGGAAATTTTCCATCCCTTGAAAGCTTGATTGCTAAGATTCACGAAGATCGCAGAGTTGCTGAGAGAGCTCTTGATCTTCCCATGTATTCGAGTCATAAGAATGATTCATATTTGATAAGCTCATAGTACTGATTTTATTAACTTCTTCTGAAGAAACCTCTGCATTTGTACTAGTGCTAGAAACAGTTTTGTTGTATTATTTCCTGTGATTCTCAATCACCACTCACCATAACACATTGATTTGTAACATGCATAAATAGTAATGAAAAAGACCACTATTTAACTTTCAATATTTGTCGCCCCCATTGGGGATTTAGATCTATTACATCAAGGCAACAAAGAAAATGAAACAAGATCTACTGAAGACTTATAGTTAGTTAATTGTTAGTTATTTATTAGTTTGTTACTTAGATCACAAGCAATGTTATGCTCTGTTAGATTGTACAATAAGTAGAGTATACATCTGTAACTCTATGAACTCTTTGTAATGATCATTATTAAACAAGAAAAGAGTTTCTATTTCTCTTTCATTTTATTTCCACAATGTGGTATCAGTTACCCACCATTGAGAGTTAGTTACAATGCTGTGAAGTTAGTTACAAGTTTTCTCTTCTCCTTCATCGTTTCTTGCATTTTCTTTGAACTTTCATGTAGTTTTCTGCATATTTTATTACATCTTAACCGCAGTTTTCTATATTTCTAATTGATTCTTCGTTCTCATCATTGTTTCTTATTGATTCATCTTCATTGTGCCTTCACTTGCAATAATACCCTGAAACTAAAGGATTCGTTGCCTATAGTAGATGCTACTTAATAGAGCATGTGGATGTAAAGCTAAATTCTCATATTAATTACTAATTGCGGATGTGTGTTGGCAAAGTCAATAAAAAAACTTCTGTATTTGCATGACTAAGTTGATATTTGCTATTATATAGTAAAGCTAAATTCTCATATTAATTACTAAGTGCGGATGTGTGTTGTCAAAGTCAATATAAAAAACCTCTGCTTTTGCATGACTAAGTTGATATTTGCTATTATATAGTTTTGTACTAAGTTGATATTATTAGAGTACAATAGCATAAGCATAAAACAATTCTGCCTTAAGAAGACTAAAGTGCGCTGCAAAGGAAATTTAGATAAAGTTGTTAGAATAAAATTGTTAGAACGTGTACAAGTTAGTTCTACATTATCGAGTTGACTTAGTTGATTATGCTCAATGCCCAATGCACATTCACTAATTTTGTACTAAGTTGATATTTGCTATTATATAGTTTTTTACTAAGTTGATATTATTAGAGTACAATAGTATAAACATAAAACAACTATGCCTTAAGAAGATTAAAATGAGTTGCAAAGTACATTTAGATAAAGTTGTTAGAATGTGTACAAGTTAGTTATATATTGCTGAGTTAACACTTAGTTGATTATGCTCAATGCACATTTGCTAGCTGTCTATAAATAAAAATTTCTATGTAATAAATTAATAAGTTATCAATAATAAAATTTCAATTTCTCTCTTTCAATTCAATGATGAAACATTCTTCATCATTTTTTTATATTATGATATTACGAGTCTACCCTCGAGTCACCAAACATTTATATATATGCGCACCAAATCCAAAAAACACAATTCTTTTTAAGTTTGATCCATTCACATGTTGTTTTGAGCTATATGAAGAAGTTGCAGCACGATTCAAATTGCAATACGAGACATTACAGCTCAAGTATCTATTGGGGTTGATTAAAAATATATATATTGAAAAAGTTTCACATCGCTTAGTTTTGTGAATGAAGAGAGAGTTCAAGTCTATATATAAGATATAAGTTTTTGAAGTTCCACATTACTTAGTTTTGTGAAGGAAGAGGGAGTCCAATATTATATATATAGGATTCAAGTTTTTCATTCCAAGATGTACGAGTCATAAGCATTTTAAGCTTGTATTTGAGTTTTTTTTTTATATTTGCTAGATGTACTTGTTGTAGGGAAGGTTTTGGTTGAAATGTCAAGTGAAGATTGACTTAGAGAAATTTGATAGAATAATTAATTTTGTCATGTGGAAAATTCAAGTTAAAGATGTTTTGATACAATTATGATTACACAAGGCGTTAAAAGGAAACGTTTTCAACATGGACAACGAGAAGTGGGAGAAAATAAATTTGAGAGCTTCGAGTACAATCTGCATGTCTTTAGCTAAGAATATTCTTGTAAATGTTCTTAGTACGTCGTCAACCAAAGAGTTTTGGAAGAAACTTGAAGGGCTATATCAAGGAAAGAGTATATCAAATCGTTTATTGTTAAAGGAGCAGTTTCATAGCTTGCGTATGGATGAACATATGAAAGTATATGATCATCTAAGTGTTCTAAATGATATTGTTTCTTAATTAGAAATTATTGGAGTCAAGATTGATGATGAAAATAAAGCTTTGAGACTCATATGGTCTCTTCCATCTTTTTATGGGCATATTAAATGCGTTTTAATAGATGGAAAGAAAACTTTGAGCTTTGAAGAAGTTGCTAGTAAGATTATTTCTGAAAAAAGAAGATTAAAGGGTGAGGAGAATTCTTCATCAAACTCAGTGTTGGTTGCTAAAGGAAGGTCGTATGTGAAGAAAAACAATGAAACGGGTGTGAGATGTTGGAAATGTGGAAATCTTAGACATATAAAGTATAAGTGTCCTGATGGGAATGCGTCAGAGAAGGGCTTTGAGTCAAATGCTAGCAACGTCTCTCTCGTTGTGAGAGAGGATGTTCTTTTTTTAAAATTGAGAAGTGTGTCCTCATGACATTTCCATTGTCATGGAAAATGATGAGTTATTGCTAGCGGATTCACACATGGGTATTAATGCAAAGTGTGTTGTGATATTATGTCGGTGGTTGAAAAACTTCTTTCCAACAAGGAAGTTGCACCATAAAGTTTCAACCTGGTTTTCGAAATGGAAAAATTCTTGAAGTGGTTTAACTTCAAGTGAAGTATACTCTTCTTTAGGTGGAGTGTGATAGTTTTTGAAAACTATGATTGTCGTTGAAGACAATGTAAATTTTTTTGGAGTGGTGTAGTTTCAAGTGACTATACTTTTTATGGTGGAGTATGATTGTCGGCGAAGATAATGAAAACTTATGTATTATTTTCAATTAAGGTGGAAATTGTTGGGGTTGATTGAAAATATACATGTTAAAGAAGTCTCACATCGCTTAGTTTTATAAATGAAGAGAGAGTTCAAGACCATTCAACAACTTCAATGAGACCATTCAACTTTTTGCTTTGACAAGATTTTAATGGCATTTTCACAATCTTATGGAGGTTCTGCGTCCCTGAAAGGTTGTATTTTAGGTATGCTAGTCTCCATGATTAGGCCTTTATTCATAAGCTGCCCTGACTAGTTCTCTATGCATTGAACTACTGACACTTGTAATTATATCTAATTTATTAAATTTTAAATTATTACTTGAACAATTACACCAACTATTTATATAAATAAATAAATATATAAATATAATTATGTATTTTAGTGGGTTCTTTGTTGCTACTTTGGTTTTAATGATATTAGGGTCGGCCCAACATATATAAGCGAAACTTAAAATTAAATATTTTTTAATTAATATATTTTAAAATACAAAACTATTAAATTATTATAATTTATTTTAATTGATAATAAAATAAACTCATCTAAATACTCTTTTTATTATTTAAAAAATTATAATTAAAATGCAAAATTAAAAAAATATTAATATCAAGTCTTCTACTATGTTAAAAAATTAAAAAATCAAACAATACATACTATTATATATTTTAAATAAATATTATTATTTAAATGATAATAATATAATTTAAAAAATTATAAATAAAAAATCATTAAATAAAATCATATATAACTAAAAATAAAAATAAAATAGGCCCTAGATGGTAGCTTAATTGCCTATCCTAGGACCGGGATATATCGACCGTGACATGCTAGTACTAAGGTTTGTAGGAAAGAAAGCTTTGGAGAGTGTGTTGTTGACTTGTAAAGGTAAAAAAACAAATATTAAAATTAATCATAATTTAAAGTGGAAGCAAAATAAACATTAAAATTAATCATAATTTAAAGTGGAAGCAAAATAAACATACAGTATACATACGCATAATTTTAGGATGTAACATAGCGATATATTTAGATAAATTTATGATCTATAACATATGAATTAACAAATATCTATATGATTTTATATTTACCATTTTATTCAACTATTATATTTTTATTAATGGCTGTTTTTACCGAATCAAATCCAAAAAATAACATAATTTTTTTATATTTATTAATTTTTAAATAAGTTTCATTTTTGTGAAAGGAACATAATTATAATTATAATAAAAAAATTTCATTTAAAAAATAAAATAAAATGACATATTTAATTATAAAAATTAATATATAATAATATATTAGTTTTTTATTAGACGATCTTACATATCCATTGATCTCATCATTATTTCATGTTATTCCAAATGAAACTTTTATTGACAAAACTTATTTTTAATAGAAGAAAAATAAATAAATAAATAAATAATTTTTCTTATGGGCAACCAATAAAGTTAAAAAAAAACACCAAAATGGTATATTATTAAAATTAAGCAAAATAAATATATATATTAATTCATGTATTTATTGGTGTGAACATTATACGTTGATTCAAGATTGCCAGCTGGTGGGTCCCACCTACCGAGTGATCCATGATGACGTAAGTAATTGTCGTCGTTCTTCCCCTTTTCTTCATGTTCTATATTCAACAATCGCTGAAAAATGTTTACATAACACCATACATGATTTTTCCCCCTTTTCAATAATTCATTGATCAATGGCTTCCAATTCTCAACCATCAGGTTCCTTCTCTTTCTGCTTTTTCTGTAATCGATTAATTCATCATAGATTATACAATTTTCATAATTCACCGTTAGGGTTTGCGTTTCAATTAGTTATAATCATCGTTGTCATCAAGTTTACGGTTGCTGAATTTCAATTATGTTTTGATTAATCATTTCTAATTTATGGAACAATTTTTGAAATGTTTTTGTTGTTTGAATAAAATTGAATTGCAGGAAGTAATCCTCCACCAAAACCTTGGGAACGGGCGGGTTCTTCGTCTGGCCCCGGGGCGCCTTTTAAACCGCCGTCAGGTGGAAGCACAAGTGATGTTGTTGAGGCTTCAGGGACTGCAAAGCCTGGGGAGATTGTTACTAGTACTGACAGAAATGCGGCTGTCAATAGGAATGCTCTCGCCAGACCTGTTCCCACGAGGCCGTGGGAGCAGAATTATGGAAATACAAGCTACGGAGGTGGTGCCTTAGGCGGTGAGTATGTTTCTGTTTTGAACCTTTTTTTCCCCTTGTTTTCCTATTTCAAGAAAAGCATATATATTTTTTTTTTTTATGATCCGCAGGATATGGGTCTTCGATGAATTATAATTCTGGATATGGATCTGGAGGAATGTATGGATCTTCTTATGGTGGTGGTTTAGGAGGTGTTGGAGGAATGTATGGTGGTGGTGGAATGTATGGGAACAGTATGTACAGAGGAGGAGGATATGGCGGAGGCCTTTATGGATCATCTGGAATGTATGGAGGAGGTGGAATGTATAACAGTGGCCTTGGGGGTCAAATGGGTGGTTATGGCATGGGAGTTGGTCCTTATGGTGATCAAGATCCCAATAATCCATATAATGAACCTCCATCCCCGCCAGGATTTTGGATTTCTATGCTGCGTGTGGTGAGCCATATGATACTTTCAGAACTTAGTTTTTCTTCTATAGGGATTATTGATCAACATGTTCCATAGCCAATGTTTGTCCCGTTTTGTTTAACTGGATTGTTAAGTCACATAATTATTTATCACCAACCTCGGTCATATTTGTGATGGTCAGCCAGTTCTAGATCAAATTCTCTTAATTTTCCAAATTAAACTGTATTTAGCACAATATATTGTCATTGCATCGTGTTGAGCAAAAATCAAAATTTCACGTTCATATTTGTGATTGTCACTGCATCGTGTTCATTATATGATATTAGTTCGGATTGCCTTGTGAGCCACGTGAGACAGCACACAATAGAAACAGTAATCATATTATTGGCCTGTAATAAACTTCTTGTCTCTAGAAGTATTCAAGTATTCAGTTAGTTAAGCTGCATATGATCATGGACATTGTATATTTGTATTTAGGTACATTTTTGTGCACTCTGCTTTGTCCGTTGTGTGCCGCTGCTTCTATGTTTTTTATCCCCTTAGGATTATTTTAATATGAATATTGTTTTTTATTATTTGTTGTCTAAAAATATGCATGGCGCATGTTGAACCTTTTTCCTCTCTAACGACAGATGCAAGGTGTTGTTAACTTTTTTGGCCGGATATCAATACTCATAGACCAGAACACGCAGGCTTTCCATTTGTTCATGACCGCAATGCTCCAGGTTTGGTGTTCATCATTCTCTTGTGACTTGTTTACTTGCTAATTGTGTATCCACCTCCTATGGTTTAAAGATTGAAATTAAAGTAAAAAATGAAGTCATATATATGTTCTATTTGTGTGTTTTGAATCGTTGTGAAATTTTTTGCTTTGGTGAAGCACTGAAGGTTAAACAAGGACTGATTTTGGATGTGTTTTTTATGGTTATCAAACTCGAGGTAAAGGAACCCAACTCTTAGTTGTAGCTCGATCCCTCACTAGCTAGGAGAACCAATCCCTACCAACCTTCACTGGCTTGTAAATTTGACCTTGTGATTTGAGCATTTGTGTTGTGAATCTGTTTCAATTTAATACAATGGTTGCTTACAAATTCATTATTATCATTTGATTTATGATTTACTTAGTTTTAAATATTTACTATACTCATAATAAATTGTGTTAAGTAAATTGACAGGTGTTTTATCCGTTGTTTTTGTATTAAGTAAACTCTTACAAGTCTACTGCATGTGGAGCTAAGATGATTTATGAGTATATGTAGGCCCCTGAGTTTGATTTTTAGTTTATTTAGCGAATCAATTTTTCACATTGGAAAGTTGTCTTAAAAGTATGTGGTGAAACTGTTATCCTTTGGATATTATCAGGTAGCATAGTTTCTGGTGCCAAATTATGAAAAAGGGATCGTTTTTTAATGCAACATTTTTGGAAATAAATTGTATAATATTAATTGAGGTTTGTGGAATCAATTTAAGAGAATCACTGAATCAAGAGGTTATATGGATGCACAAGTGACGTCATAGCTGACACATGATTTGTAATGTGTTGACTTTTCTAGATTTAAACATTTTAAGGCTATTCCCGTCATGCATGATGAACAACAGCATCTTCAGGCATAACCAAAAGCAACTCTGTCCTACTTTTCTGAAGAAAATATATGAAAGTAACCAAAAAATCCAATTTAAATTTTAAGCACATGCTGCTTGATGGATTTGTTATTTCAGTATTTCACATGAATAATGAGCTCATTTTACTGTGTGGTATTCATTTTGATTTATTAGTTATTCTAATTTCATACAATCACTTTGTGTTTGCTGCAGCTGTTTGATCGCTCCGGCATGTTGTATGGGGAGCTAGCTAGATTTGTGTTGCGATTGCTCGGGGTCAAAACAAAGCCCAAGAAGGTTAACCCATCAGGTCCGAATGGACATCCATTTCACGGACAACAACATCCTTCTGGAAACATGAACTACATTGAGGGAGCAAAGACTGCCCCAAGTGGTTCTTGGGACAATGTCTGGGGAAATGACACCAGTGAATGATTTGACGAATTTAGCAAGTGTGTTCAAGTACATTAAAGAAAAGAGAGAAACTTCAGCATTTCAAATGAAGATACTGAAGCTGCAGAATTCATGTATATCCTAGATTTAATTGCACTTTTCTGTTTTTCCTTGCCTATATTGGGTCTTGTTTTTTCTAGAAGTGGAATCTTCAGATGATAAGATATTATCCCTACCTTTATACCTTGTAATTGTTTACTTTGAATATGCAGGATGCTGCTTTTTCTAGTACATTGTGTCCAGAATGAATGTAATCTTCCATGCCTGCCTATGTTTTTTTGGACCTTAAATTCCATTTCTTTAAATGTGCCCTTTCTTATATGTATCCATTTGTGCAATCTTATTATTATTTGTAAAGTTATTTAACTTTTTGAGGTGATTTAAACCTAGGCAAGATCCTTTGTCAGTCCTGGGAAATGAAAAGTTCTGCCAGTTTTAGGGGCAAAACATTGTGAAATGGCTATAACACGAGTTGGGTTGCAAATTGGTGCATTTGGCTAGACGAAACGCATGCTGTTTCCCCTTTGTCGAACGTGTTGATTCTTTCATCTTGTTTTGAAGCTCTTTTCCCCTTTAAATAAATTCCATCAATCCTGTGTTTGACTTTCATGATTTGTGAAATTGACTTGCACTTGTGGATTTAATTGAAGTTTGAAGTAATAAGAGATCTGCATTCTTCAAACTCTGAAACAATCATAGTTGTTGGCTTGTTGCACTTAGTTCTTTGACTTGTTGCATATAGTAAGTGCGGTGTGCACAATTTTCAAAGAGAAGAACGAGAATGTCACGTCAAGGTTAGAAGTTGAGTTTTGGTGGTGGTGCAAGGTGGAGATGGGTGGTTTGTGGCTGTATTGGTGATTGGATTGGGCCAAGGTTAACTGGCAGCGTGTTGTTCACGGTGATTCTGGAAGGATGCATCATTGTGTAGAGTAGGGCATGTTGCTCATTGAGAGATTAGGACTGTCTTGTAAACTCTATTCAGCTCTATAATCATAAGATGTATGTATACATTTGACTGTCTATAGTTTTGTTTCACGAAGAACCAGTTTTTAAGATGGTTCATTGTAGCTGTTGCCCTTGTGCTCTACCAAGCAATTTGGTTTGGTTATATGAAGCATGAGTTAAATTTTGTTTAAAGGAAGGTAACCTTGCCAGGCTTGGTAAGGTGCTTCAAGACCATTGGGGAGTCCTGCTTATTGGTTTGTGTCAACTTGGACTTTTGTTCAATATTTTAGGTTGAGTTGTTGGAAATACAGAAGAACATCAGTTAATAGAACTTCATTTCTTAAAGAGAATTTCTTATCATATCTCCTGGGGTTCTTTACACCATGGGCGCTTCTAAAAATACTTTTTGCTTTTGGAAATGTATCTCCGAACGCACATTTTTTATATTCAACGTTGATTTTTTTCGGATCTACATTTACGGAATGCTTCCGTTTATATAACTCCGGAATAAATTGGAATATATTTGCGATAGAGTCTCTTCTCCTCCCTCATTCTTCATTTTTCATCTTCTTCACTCTTAAACTCTCCAAACTCTCAATCCTCAAAAAATCTTTTTTCACAAAACTTAATTTTTTCTGATCAAGTTTGATAAGGAGTATTCATTTCAACGATCAAGACACCCTAACTCATTCAAAACTCGATATAATCGGCAAGTTTTTGAGTTTCTGAGGTATTTTCGAATATTTCCTACAAATGAGTTATAGAATATAGTTTTAGGGGTAGAAATCCTTAGATATTTTTAGAAATATAGTTTAGAGACAATGCACATATTGTTTGTTGGCTGAAACGGACGATCAGAGCTTCAAAAAATCGATTTTCATGGGTAGGGGACGCCATTGTCGTGACTGTTGTAGTTGCAGGAAGTTCCAGAGCTACATCTATGAAAAACATTAACGTTTTGGCAATTCTGTAGATGCAACTCTGGAACAAATCAAACTTTCTGAGTTCTGGGTTCTTCCGTAGATACATTTACGGAAGTTTTCCGTATGTTCACATCCAGAAGTAAAAAATGTTAATTTTTTTCTTTTTTGTTTTTTAATTTATTTGTATCTAATTGTTTTTTCTTGGTTATACCTTGCAGACATTATGGCAGACAGAGAAGATAGATCGCGAGTTGGACGAGTTTCACAACATGCATCTGTGAGACGCGAGCGGAACCAGGTCACTGTTATCGAGGCCGATATAGGCGAGGCACAACCTTCTTCATCACATGCCCAAGACATTCCATCAACCTCGTATCCCACCCCATCATCCACTTCTTCATCTCAGAGGCGTCGAAATTTAGCTGAGGGTTAATCACAGGCCCCGTCCTCCCGCATGCCTCATCGGGATACTCATGTTCTTTCTCCTGCCGATGATCCGGTGCCACCTTTAGAGGATGATGACCCACCACTAGAGGATGCTGGTGACGACGACAATGATGAGCCTGAGGGTTTCCCAAGGAGTCCCTGCTGATAGGCTACGCTGACCATACTGTCAGACATGTCTGGGATGGAGAGATAACATTACTTAGATTGTTTCTTTTTTTTCATTGGAAATTTATAATTTGTACCGTTGTTTCTTATTTATGGAAATTTTCAGACTTGTCAGCCGCAAAAGTTCTATAACCACGGTGTTGGCTGGAAGATTTCAACTGGAAAAAATTGACATAGAAGATGACTTATGGATCGACAGGCTAGGAAAGGTTGTGAAGAAAACGAGGTAAGTCGATGCTAGCAGAAGAGGGTTGTAAGTCGATTCAAGGTTATTTCGTAGAAAGTATCGACTGACGGCCAAGGAAACCGACACGAAGTATGAGAACTTTTGAGCAGGAAAAAAATTTGAAAAGTTAAGAACGTGGGGAAGTTACAAAAGTGGTGGAGCGACACGTGGCGCCACCAATACCAACATAACAATTATTTTCTTTTCCTATTTAAGGCAATGCCCGTTTTCATTTTCAGGGGGCGCATTTTGTAACATTGTAAGGAAAAAACACTCTGAGTACCAAGCGTTAAGAGAAAAGAGTTTATTCCTACAAAATGTATGATCACGCCCGCATTTCCTTTTCAAAGCAATTTACATTATCAAACTTTCAGATATCTTGATTTTTTACTCGTTTATTTTATTTGTCCTTCATTTGGTATACGCATTTTTTTCTAAATTTGATTCCAATTTATTCTAAACAAAACCATTCTACCACCGTCGCATATACTCGACTAGATAGTTCTGGGACTTGTTTGGCCAGTCCCGCAAGTAAACCTGTGTTAGGAGGTCAGAGGTTTTTCGTGCGAAAACTACTTGCGAACAAATTGGCGCACTTGGTGGGACCCGTTAGTTTGGGTGTATGCATTTACATAGTGGTAAGATAGTGATACCATGTCCAAACGAAGAACCGTCTTCGGTGGGAAATACGGTTGTGACGCAAACAACCGACGTTGGCGCTAACACTGTCTGCGGTTTCGACTGCACATATTGGGCCTGTCGTGACGCCGCGTCGACCTGAACCTAGGCCTATGCTGACAGGAACTGAGGGCAGTATGTGCCTAGTTTCACAATGCCCATGCCCCGAGCCTTTGGGATACCAACAGAGTTCATGTCGAGCGTGCATCATAGTGGCCCACTCTTTGGAGAAAGTTCCTCGTCAGCTTTCTCACTGTATCAGGGATTAAGGCCTTTGGCGAACCAAGTTACTAGGCCCCCAGGTTTTAGTCTTCCGTCACATTCGATTCCAACTTTCACCTCTAGTTTTGTCGCCGTTATGAGACAGCAGATGGATAAAAGTAATCACGAAATGGTTCACATGTTGACCCAACAAATGGACACCATATTAAGACCATTAATACAAGATTCGACCCAGAGTTACCAACAATTGGCGACTCAGATGACACGGATAGGTGATTTTTTAGGCGCCTCTAGGGCCCCAGGTCGACAGACGCCGTCGCCTCGACCTGAGACGCCAATTCGATAAGACGAAGTCTTCGACAAAACAATTAACCAGCAACTCCATGAGGTTGAACACATACCTAGGGTGGCCCAAAGGTCTTCCGTTATTTTAGTTCATAGGAACCAAGACCTAGACTATGTGGTTAGACAGGTTCGACACGAAGCCATGGCTGGTGAACCAAACTTATAAGCTATGGTTGAATGGATTATGGTTCGCAATGGAGCGAACTCAGGCCTTCGACGGCCAACATATACGTCCCCACTACCAGACTTTGTTTTGCAAACAGAGCTACCTAGGGGCTAGAAGGTTCCAAAGTTCACCGAATTCGCTGGAGAGACCGAAGAGTCCATTGTCAAACTGAGGACTTGAAAATGAAGCATTTCCTAAGTTCCCTCACAAAGAATGTGTTTACTTGGTTTACCATATTACCCCTATAGCTTGTCCATACCTGGGCACAATTAGAAAGGTTGTTTCATGAAGAATTTTACATGGGACAATCGAAAATTAGTCTGAAAGAGCTAGCTAGTGTCAAATGAAAGGCCACAGAATTGGTGGACTTTTGAAAGCGCGATGCTTCACACAAGTCTCTGAACATGAGCTAGTCGAGATGGCGGATGGCAGTCTAGATTATTCAATTAGGAAAAAGTTAGACACACAATATCTCAGAGATATGGCGCAGCTAGCTGATAGGGCCCGACAAGTCGAACGTTTAAAAAATGAAAAAAACCCAGACTAACAAATACCGCAATAAAGAGAAAGTTTCATATGTGGCCGCTGACGAGTAATCTTCTAACGATGAGGAGCTCGTCGATGAAAGTGAGGTTAACGTGGCTGAACTGAAGCCAGGGCCCCCTGTACACGTGTAAATTATTAAAACCATCAAATGGAAAAAATCCTGTCGAAACTGAAAAAACAGATAAATACGTTGCGAAAACGTATACTTTTGATGTATCTAAGTGCGACGAAATCTTTGATTTATTAGTTAAAGACGGTCAAATTATTGTCCCTCATGGGGCAAAAGATCCCCCTTTAGAACAAAAGAGGAAAAATGGGA